TCCAAAAGTAGTTAGTTACAAGTTAGTTGACATGTAATGCAGAGGTATCCAGGTCTGACTTTTTTGCGGCCATCGCCCCACAAAAGTAGTTAGCTTTTTTCGAACAAAATACACAGTTAATAGTTAGCACTAGTGTTCGCGTAAACAGACTAAAGTTAGGTATAAGCTAACGTCACTCCCTGCAGGGTGCATTTGATTTCAACTACTTTGAAATGCATTTGGCTTAAAGTAATGCAAATGTAAGTAAAGTAATGTTTCTTTTACAGATGACTTTTCATGCTGAAATAATTAAGTAATATGTAACTATTTGCTAAGATATGCATAAAAAGTTTAAGCATTTGGTTTATCTAAATGAAGCTGCTAGGTGTTTATACATTAATTTGAGGTTAGTTGCTGCATAAGTAGAAATAAACTAATTTTTCTACTGGGTTGCGACAAAATCAATATTATTTCTTACAAAAATAATTTCTTGCATTGCATCTACTTTAAGCTCGTCCCATGAATGCAAATATCAATTTTTCTCAAAAATTCTTTTCAGATTTGGCTAGTTGTACATTTTGCCATGAATCCGCGCAATTGCTTTTTCAATTGCTTTTTCAGAACTCGCTAATCCATTTTTACTACTTTTGGAAGCTGTAGTCCCATTGTGCGACAGTTTGTAGAGACCTGCAGGGAAAGCTACTAATTGTGAACTAGAATTCTACCAGTTTGCTTTTCAGCCCAACTAGGTCACGTTTTATCCTTTTTAAATGTTAGCGACTGGTATTTTTAATATGGCGATGTTCTACGAGATGTCAATTGTCAGGCTATGCATCAGCTTCTACTAGTGGAAATACTAGTATCATCATATCAGTTGATGAGATAGTCTGCCAATTCATCCCCCGTGAAAAGCATATGTGTGCAATTTTGCTCGCGGCGCTCCAACAGTCTCATTGGCCGACAGAGCAAAGCACTTACGTGGTAGTCCTGAGGTTCAAGGTTCAATTCCTGGCGCAGGGGAATTGTTTTTTTATGCTTTTATGCGTTTTTTAATTTTATTTTTATTTTTTATTATTTACTTTTTATTTGGGGTTTTCGTTTTAATTCCTAAAGTTTTTTAAAAAAAAGAATATTAACTCTGTTTTTTATGGCACAAGTATTCCTTTCCATATGTATGTTTTTTCTGGAATGGAATTAGAATTTCAAATTTGTTATTTATATATAAATTGAAATAATTATATTGACTCACATTAATTTAGTTTGAAAAATATTAAACATCACCAAGCGGACCCGAACCTGCGATCTCAGAACTAGAACCGGTAGTCATCACGCGCCCCACAGCCGAAAGGAATTAACCCAACCAGCAGGGAAATGTAAATTTTGTCGACAGTCCAGCCTAGTACAATTTTCCGTATCCGGAAACGAATAGAAAACGACTACAGTTATCATTCATTATCGTATCCGGAAAACGTTCGAAAAAGATGATGTTATTTGAAAGCAATAATTGTATTTCATTTGTTTAAGCTAAACATTTGAAAGTGTACATGCGTAGTCGGCAGTGGCTATTTAAGCGTGCAAAGGAGCGTGCCGCTATTTGTTAGCTTACAGAAGGTGCCGGGTTTGAATTGCGTCAGGCGCTTCCTTACTTAAATTTTTTTTTTGATTACGAAAAAGTATCTGTGAAGTGCAGAATTAAAGCGATACCATATTATTATAAACAAATAATAAAAATTAAAATATATATATATATATGATAATCACTATATTTATGTCGAATCGATCTCTCTGATACTACTTTTGTTTATTTCCGCGGTGAACGTAGAAAATTTCACTTTCAACTGTATAACCAGTAAATAAGTAAAAATAATTTTTTACCAAAGGTCCTATTTCGAACTTCGAAAGCCCATATCTCGATTTCGGAGGCTAACTTTGAAAAAAGGAGAAATTACTTCTTTACTTATGACTAAATCTCTTAAAAAAAATTGTTTAACTTGAACAGCTTAGCACACAGCTAAAAGTTCAAACTCAAGTGAAATTTGACATACGTTTTCCATGAATTAAAATTTTCAAAAGCATCCATTCATTTTTTATTCTGGCAATGATATTTCACGATATTTAGGCAAATTTAAATATTTTCGGATTAAAAATATCTCACTCATCATTTTTTACCAGGGACGTGAACCGGATGAAAAATATGGTGGGTATTACCATGTTTAACAAAAAGAAAAAAATGTGGGTACATTTATCTATTTAAACGAACCTTTAAAGCTTTATAGAAAGAGGTTCGGTTTTCGGTTCGGATCAAACATTTGTGGAAAATTTCTAGATCCGCCACTGAATTGTGGATATAATTTAGAAAAACTTAAAGAGTCACATGCAATTCACCGATGTATAGATAAAAATTCTTTAAATACTGTTTCAACATTAACATCCAGATTGCGATGAGTTTTGAGAAAAGCTAGCCCATTGTGTGTTCGTTCTCTGTCCATTTCTGTACATTAGTCTGCGCCTTAGTTGTATGGAGAAAATTTTGTCTTAAGCTACAAAGTAAGACTCCCCCTAGAAATGTTCCTAAAGTTCAGCATTTTCATGCAATTTTTCACAAAGCGGTCAAAATTGCCTATAAATCAGTGGCAAATTTAATATATTTTAATGGCACTTGATGTAGTTTTGCCCCCAATGTCAAATATGGCTAACGTATTTTTAAACCTCCCCAACTTTAAAAGTTATTGAGGTTTGTTCCACGTAAAATTACAATTCTTAGGAATTCAAAAGTTAAGTTTAAGCCAAATAAATTTAGGTCAAATTGGTACGAAGAAAATAAGTGTAGTAGCGAACTTTTGATTCAGTTTACTTCTATTCGACACGTAGATCATGGATCCACAGTATCAGCCCTAAATTTCATACCCGGACTTTCCGCTACCTTGCATTTTACGTTTTTTTTTGGGTTTTTGCGATTTACAAGCTTATTTTGCATTTTTCGTAAAAAAACGGATGTATACAAATTTGTAGAGAATTTTATTTCCCTCATTTTTGATATACAAACCTTTAAAAAAATCATTTCTTATTGTAAATAATTATCAAAGCGTGCAAAAAATGTTTGTATTGTCACGGTTTTCACCAATTTTCAACAATTTCTGACAAAAATGCGTAGTATAATCAAATGCCAAAGTTGTAGGGAGCTTTTATCTTTTAGTGTTGGGTTCTCCGGTGGCATAAAATTGGTAAAGCAAAAATGTAATTTACGGTTAGTTTAGATACCATATTTGACACGCCATGTTGAATTTTTCAAAAGGCCTCACGGCCTTTTTCCAAAAAAAACTCAATAACTTTAAAAGATGGGGAGGTTTAAAAATACTGTAGCACTTTTTAACATCTGGGACAAAACTCAATCAAGTGCCATTAAAATATATTAAATTTCCCACTGATTATAGGCAAAAAATTTACTGCTTTGTGAAATATTCCACAAATTTGCTGAACTTTAGAGCCTTTGAGGCACGTCTTTCCGTTATCCGATTTAAAAAGTTTTTCGCAGGTCACATTTTTATGATCAAATGAACCTTTCTGGGGGAGTCTTGCTTTGTAGGACAAAGTTGCAAAATAAGGCGCACGCTACTGCAGATGCATGATGATGTTCATTGAATTATTTTGGAAAACTACCCTGCAGGGAAACCGCGGACTAGTGAATAAAATTTCTAGCTCCGTACTAGGCCTTTATCGCCAAAAAGGACCTAGTCCGACAGGAACTAGATCCCCACCAGTCCAAAATCGGTGAAAAGTGGTACTTTTAAAAAACAATTTTTTTCAGTTTTTTTTCACTAGAAATCTATATCTCAAGTGACGAATTTAGAAATGGTTCAGACCTATAGAAAAAGGGATGCAGAACGAACTACATCTTATTTGTCTAATTTAGAACTAGTTCGTAACTATCGAATAAGGGATGCAGCGGGAGGCTTGTTTACTTTACACAGATATGTGTTCGGTGGCTTTTTCGTTCAAATACGCTTCTATTCTGTGCTTCTCAGATGCTTTTTCATAGCTTGGTAATACAAAACTAAAATTTGTGGTAACATTTCAATATCTTGTGACCGTCTGTAATCTAAGAAATAACAGCGCAAACTCAGGTATAGCAAAGGTATGTAAACGTACATTTCTTACAATCATTCAAACAAATTTAATTTCAAATTGAAAACACATTTCTTCCAAAATAACTTAAAATCGCACACACGGAAGAGCAAAAAGATTGAAAAATCATGATACTTTTTTCTTTCGTCTGTCGATTTTGGAACTCGTTCGGAACTATAGAATTTAGGACTAGTTTTGAACTATCGAAAAAGGGATGCAGCGGGGAGCAATTGACACTTCCTAGGACATCGCCATGTTAAATTCGCCTCAGAACTAGAGGTTTTCCCCACAGGGTATAACTAAATAGGGGAGCGAAGGTTGTTATAGACCACATAAGGAAAAATTTCTGTAGAAAAAACCGAAATCTGAATCTTTACTAATTTTTTAATGGATAACACAGCACAACAAAAATATAAAAAAATTTTGGTACGGCAAATGTTAAAACTGTTTTTAATAGATTTTTTGTGCTGATTACGAATCCGTAAGCATAAAGTTTACATCAGCTCCAGATTAAGAAAAAAAACGAGGTCAAAGTGTCAAAAAATTGCGGTTTTCGCAAGCTCTAGCAAAGAAACAAAAGGTGATAGAACCTTCCTGGCTTAAATTAAACCTAGACCTCTCGACTACTATCTCTGAAAGGAGATCTTAAAATATTTTTTACCATTATTATCTTAAATAAAGTGATGAAAAATTTGTATGCATATTTCGCTCCTCAGGGGGACAACATTAACAGATCGAGATCGGCACTATCATAAACCCAAACAAAAAGCTCTTATCATTCGAAGATACTATATTGTACATTTACAAAGTAGTAGCAAATTTAATACTAAAATTCAATGAAAATTAAACAGGCCAAATTTTTTGCATATAAACCAGGGAAAACCGAGATATTTCGAGGCTCGTTCGGTACACCGGGACGAACAGTTTAAAACCGTAACGTATGGCAGCCCTATACTAAGGACATTAGCAATTAGTGACACACAGGGAAAGACATCAATGACACTTAAAGGTACTTACGCTCAAAACTTGTCAACGTCCACTCGTACATATGTATATATGTAATATGTGCCACCGCTCACGTGCATAAATGCATCAAAACAGTTAAAAGTTTGCCGATAAAATAACTTTTTTCTAGACCGTTGCTTTGATTGGAAGACAAAATTCACAATGGGTACCAATCACATTTCGGATGTCCTGGTCTCTCATGAATATATGACAATGGAGCAGCAACAGCACCAGCAACAGTACCAACAGCAGCATCAAATGCACCAACATCAGCTAAATGTCAGCATTACTTCCGAGAATCCACTATCACCAATTGACTTACAGGAGGGATCATCCAGACCGATACGCAGAACCAGCCAAAGGACCACTCAGGTAAAGCATCTATTTATAATATCTATGCATATAATAAAATTGTGACAGGCCGATGTCTGTATATTACAGATATAAAAGAAAAATTAATATGGGGGGTCTTTATTAGAGCAACAGATGCCAAATCAACAATTTTTTTAATTTTTGCCTGTCTGTTTGTATGTTTATACGCGCATCACTCGAAAACTAATACATGGAATCGTAAGTCTAACAAAAAAATAAATAGAGAGTTGCCACCTGTTTGGAAATAAGAGTTTAATAAATTGGTACGATGAACTAAATATTACAATATGGCTGCCACCTACTTGAAAAATAATATCCATTTAAATTTATAAACTAAATGAAATATTACAATACGGGTATTAAACTAAAGAGGTTTAGAAAGTTTACTGTCGAAAATATTTTGGAGTGGGTTGCAACCTACATACATATATATTGGAAATATTTAATTCATTTAAATTGATAAGATAAGGTACAATATTGAATTAGTACACATTTGAAGAAAATGCTCGATTTGCAGATTCGAGTTATAAAAACTTTATTTAAATTTCCAGGAGAAAAACGATACTTTACCTACTCTCTAAATTCGAAAACATATTAACTAGCACCCGAATTCATAATAAATATGTAAAGAATGCTTCATAAATGGAAAATTTGTTTGAAAGCTCACTTCATAAAGCTCTTTAAACCAATTTCATTTTTAAGAATGAGGCGAAAAGACTTTGGGAGGGAGTAGCAACACGAAAATACCTTTAAGGCAAAGTGAAGCACGGCGGGTATTTGCTAGTAATTTACTAAAAATTGGTATTTAAAAATATTATAAGCCAAGCTTCTTGCTGACGTCGGCATATTGAAAGACCTTATATAAACATAAAGCAGTCAACAATTTAGAAAAGAAAAATGTTCGTGCCGAGATATCGTTGGCGGTTTGTTATTTGCTGTACTAAAAATATTTTTTATTTTCATTTTTCCCCCAGCGTATAGTTTTGAATTTAACGTCAATTATGTACATATCGCCACCTTAATTCAAAAAGGCTCTAACCAAAACATTATAAAATGAGTGTCAAAATCAGGTAGGGCATGTAACTCCGCTGTTTTTGGTACTAAGACTTCAAAATTTTTATTGAAGGTGTATTTTAATACATGGAGGATGGTTCCGTGCGCAGAAATGGAAAACTTTTGACTGCCATTCACCTGGGAGTGGCCAGAAGTGATTCTTGCGCGTACGGTTCAAATCGCAGCCCACAACGTTCGGATATTTATATCCACGTATCCTCTGGGTATCAACCAAACTCCCGTTTGGGAGCGAGCTAAAGCGAGAAGGCGTAAAACTTCGCGTGCGTTGGGTTTGTGTCCCGCCAGGTTAAAACCCAGCCCAATGAAAAATTAAACAATCCCTGGATGAGACTCCTTTTTTTGATGACGACCACGGCAAATGTATAAAAGACTATAATTTGACGGTATGCAACTGGAATATCCGGACTCTTAATGGGGAAGGTGAGTCTGCCCGGCTGGTTGATGTCCTCGAGAAGACAAAGGCTGACATCCCCGCCATCCAAGAAATGCGTTGGACGGGGCAAGGAAAAGTAAGTGTGAAGCCTTACGACATCTAATTTGGTAGGAGAGATTCCGTCGCCGAGTAGTGGCGTTCACCCCGGTGGACGAATATCGTGGAAAGCGTGGTGGAAAGCGAGATTCTTCAACATTGCGCTCATCTGCACCCATGCCCCGACGGAAGGACGAGGCGTGCAAGGATATCTTCTATGAGCGCTTGGAACGTACATACAAGCGTTGTCCCCGAAACGATGTCAAAATCGTGCTCGCCGATATTAATGTCAAGGGGGCAAGGAAGGTATCTTTGGTGCCACAGTCGGAAAATTCAGCCTCCACGACGAAATGTTCGATAACGGATTGAGGCTGATCGACTTCGCCCGGGTCGGAAACATGGTAACATGAAGTACTAGGTTCCAGCATAAGAACATCCACCAAGTTACAAGGCTGTCTCCAAATCGAAATACGAGAAACCAAATCGAACATGTTGTGATAGACGGAAGGCATGCTTCCAGCGTTTAAGATGTACGTACACTACGAAGACCAAACGCCGACTCAGGCCATCTATCTTGTTGCACCCAATATACGCACCCACCTCTGTGCAGCAAAAAATGTGCGCCCAACAATGTAAGGAAAGCTTAACGTCGAACAGCTGCAATCACAACAGACGGCCAATTTCTTCGCCACTCGCCTCACACATCTGCTCTCTGAGAGCCCTCTTCAACAATCCGAAATACGCGAGCAGTGGAACCACATTTCACGATCATTAAGTACCGCCGCCGAAGAAGTAGTTGGATTTCAGCGAGCCCGAAAGAACAACTGGTGCAATGAGGAATGTCAAGAAGCCGCAGAAAAAAAAGTCGCCGCGTATAGGGCCATGCTGCGATCGAGCGCACCGCGACCCATGTGAGACCGTTATAGGGAACTGAAGAAGGAAGCGTGATGTATTAGCAGAAATAAGAAGTGAGGGCCCGAAATACGTGAGTGCGAAGAACTTGAAATGCTGGCCGACAGGAAGAACACCCGAAAATTTTACCAGAGGGTTAGGCGACTTACGGAAGGTTTCAAGACCAGGGCGAACTCCTGTAAGAACAACAATGGCGACCTAGTGACCGATGTCCAGAATGTACTTAAATTTCGGAGGGAACACTTTTCCATCCTACTGAATGGTAGCAGCTCCTAAAGTAGTGGAGAAAACGAACCCGAGTCCCCAGTCGATGACGATGGAGTCGTTGTCGCACTGCCTGACTATGACGAGGTACGAATAGCGATTACGCGGCTGAAAATCAGCAAAGCTGCTGGAGCTGACGGCCTGCCAGCCGAGCTATTCAAGTACGCGGCGAGGAGCTGATGAGGTGCATGGATCAGCTCTTATGCAGAATATGGTCAATTTAGTTAATTTTTAATTTAATTTTTATTTAAGTGTGCTCTGCACAACCCACAGGAAACGCGACCCCGCCATTCGCTCCAACTACCGCGGAATCAGCCTTCTAAGCATAGGTTATAAGGTATTATCGAGTGTATTGTGCGAAAGACTGAAGTCCATCGTCAACGAACTGATTGGACCTTATCAGTGTGGCTTTAGGCCTGGCAAATCCACCATAGATCAGGTACTCATAATACGCCAAATCTTGGAAAAGACCCGCGAGTAATTGGCAAACACCATCTATTTGTCGATTTCAAAGCCGCTTTCGACAGCACGAAGAGAAGTTGCCTTTATGTCGCGATGTCTGAATTTGGTATCCACGCGAAAATAATACGCTGTTTAAAATGACGTTGAGTAACACCACCAGCTCCGCCAGAATAGGGAAGGACCTCCCGGAGCCATTTGATCCCAAACGAGGTTTCAAACAAGGTGACTCCCTCTCGTATGATTTCTTTAATCTGATGTTAATAATAAGATAATAAGGCCGCAGAACTGAACCGCCCAGGCACATTAATTTACATAAGCATACAATTGCTACCGTGCGCCGGACGCATCGATATTATCGGTAAAAACAATGGCTGTTCTGCCTTCTCGGGATTGGATAGAGAAGCAAAGCGAATGGGTCTGGTGGTGAACGATGACAAAACGAAGTATCTCCTGTCATTACACAAATAGTCAGAGCATACGCGTCTTGGCACCCACGTCACTGTTGACAGTTACAAGTTTGAAGAGGTAGACGACTTCGTTTATTTGGGAACCAGTAATAACACCAATAATAATGTCAGCCTTGAAATCCAACGGTGAATCACTCTTGCCAACAAATGCTAAATAATTTGGACTGAGTAGGCAATTGAGAAGTAAAGTCCTCTCACGTCGTACAAAGATCGCACTCTATAAGTCACTTATCATGCCTGCGCTGGAGTATGGCGCGGAGCCATGGACAATGAAAACATCTGATGAAGCGGCTCTTGGAGTTTTCGAGAGAAAGCTTTCAATTTCAATTTCAATTTATTTCAATTTGAAGCATTAGTACAATAAGATTCTCAAACATCTTTTTTAGTACAACAGGGAGGTATAACAACAGAAATTATAAATTAAACAATGAAATAGAGATATTAAACAAACAAAACAAATCCAAAAGGAAAAACAAACAAATTTAAAGGACTGGTACACCCTAAAAATTACGCAGACTCGTAGGTCAGCACAGAACTTAGTTAGTTTGAGATGGGTAATCAAGTTTTAGAAAAGTAATTATATAATACATTTGTAACGTAGCTTTGCCTACGCTACAATAACATATTCAACATCACCCTAGCATGCACCTTACAACTGCACATAGGCACAACTATATAAACATACATACATGCATACCCCTATGTGCATACATACGTATACACGAAGCTGGCATGGCAAGCGCGTACAAATTTCGCAAACACCAACTTAGCCAACCATGTGCACTAACATATGGAAGAAATGCGTTATGCAAAACACAAAATGCGGAATAAGCCCACTCACTTCTCAAACAGCTCATACAAAGCCGGAGCTAAAGCTGCCAACATGAACTCAACCAGCATCAGTTGTCCGTAGGTAAGTACGGAGCGTACCCGGGGCTTCGGACCTATTTGGGGCGCTCTTGGCTTTCCTCCTTGGAGGAAGACTGACTGGTTGAATGTGGGCTGCAAGGGGGGGGAATACCCCTCATGCAACACTTCGAAAACATTAAGGCTGATTCACATACAACTTTCTTCTTGCTTGATAGTTCTTTGCTTTGACATATAAGATCGATGTAAGCATATTAACCATGGGTAATTGCGCAATTTTGTTGGCGTTAGCTCAATAACGCCAGTGCCACCTGTGGTGTCAGCGCACTAACCCAACGCAATAGCGCAGTGTATTGAATAGAACACGGCGCCATCTGAGTATCACCACAGTACCCATCGTCATACAGTGCAGTACACCATAGTCCCCTTTCAGACACGTCAAGTCTTGCTTTCAAGTCTGCTCGTTCGTAGGCGAAGGAGGTGAG